TGTGGGCCGACTCCCTAAGTTGGCCTCTTGGCTCTTCTCTGCGGGCAGTTCCAGGGCCTGCAGCTGGAGCGCGAGGCATGCCTGGCCTCCAACTACGCACTAGCCAAGGAGAACCTGGCACTGCGGCCCCGCCTGGAGATGGGCCGGGCTGCCCTGGCCATCAAGTACCAGGAACTTCGAGAGGTGGCTGAGAGCTGTGCGGACAAGCTGCAGCGACTGGGTGAGGGGACATTTGGGAGAGCCGCCAGGGGTGGGGGCAGTTGGCCACTTCCCTATTGGCCTGGGGAAGCAAGCACTAGGCTATGAAGGGTGGGACCTGGGCAAGATGGAGGGTTGCTACTCCTGGAAAGCTGAGTTGGGAAGTAAGCAGAGCCAGGCTGGAAACACCCCAATACCCAAGGACCTGGGGTACTCCAGGTGACAAAGCCCCTACTTTTTTGCACTAGGACTGGGGGGGAGGTGCAACAAACTGATCACATGGGCATTGTGCAGATGAGGAAACTGAGGCTCCAGAGAGGGAGAGGGAAGCACAGACTCACACGCAGGCCCTGAGGGCAGGGGCTTTTCACTCTGTCCCTCTGTGGCCCTCAGAGGAAAGCATGCATCGCTGGAGCCCCCACTGCGCGCTGGGCTGGCTGCAGGCTGAGCTGGAAGAAGCTGAGCAGGAGGCTGAGGTGAGGGGAGGGGTGGCTGGGCCTGGGTCAGGGAGGGACACCCATCCTATCATCACCCCTTTTTCATTCTTCCATAGAGTTGCTGGGACAGACTTCTTGGCACTGGGTTGGGAACTCAGTGAGTGAAAGGAAGTAGGGGACAGGTCCTGGCCCTGGCCTTGATGAGAGACACCTAAAGTGTGTTCCCATCTCTGATCCAGCCTCATCTCCAGCAGGTTTGGTGTAGTAAAGAAATCAAGGCTTGAGTAGAGGACATTTGTCCGCAGTCACTCAGCAAGTCAGAGGCAGGTCAAGGCTGAAACTCAGGTGCCCCACCCACCAGTCGAGGGCTGGTCTTGTTGGAGAGGTTCAGGGTTGGGGGGGTGAGATCTTTGGTCATCCTCCCAAGCTGTCCCTTCTCTCCTGTCCCAGGAGCAGATGGAGCAGCTGCTGCTGGGGGAGCAGAGCCTGGAGGCCTTCCTGCCTGCTTTCCAGCGAGGGCGAGCCCTGGCCCACCTGAGGCGGACTCAGGCGGAGAAGTTGCAGGAGCTGCTGCGGCGCCGGGAAAGGTCTGCTCAGCCTGCCCCCACCGCCGCTGTGGATCCCCCCAGACCCTTCCCTGCTGCAGCTGTCCTGCCCACCGGGGCCTCCCGGGGGCCACCAGCAGTGCCCCGGAGCCTGCCCCCCTTGGACTCCCGCCCAGTGCCCCCTCTGAAGGGCTCCCCCGGGTGCCCCCTTGGCCCAGCCCCTCTGCTGAGCCCTCGGCCCTCGCAGCCAGAGCCGCCCCACCGGTAGGATCCAGGGTACGGCCCCCCAAAGGGGGGCCCAGACAAACTTGATAACGTGGCTCCTCCTCCTCCCCCACTGCCTGGGTGGGGGGAGGGGCAGGCCCCTCCCCCTGGCCTCAGGCAGGCCCTGGCCCTGGAGGCTGAGCTGGGGAGGAGGGTCACCTGGAAGATGCCCAGAGAGAGGGCCCTGGTGGGGTGGGCAGGGTGTTATGCCTCTAGTGCTGAGGAAACCCTGCCATTTTTTCTCCCTGGCTGGGGCCTCTCGGGTGATGGGACAGTCCCAATGAAAGAACTTTCCTCCTGGGGGCCTGGGAAGACGCCTGCTTCCTCCAAGGGGCCCAGCACCCTGCCACTCCATTGGGCGAGCACAATGCCACGGCTGACAGGAGTGTATTCCATCGTGTCCTGAGCGTACTTTTTCCCCAGTCCTGGGGTCCACCGCCTGGGAGCCAGGTGGTGAGGCCCCAGCTGTGGGGCTAGGGATATCATGGCTCTGGACCTACTATGTGCCCCCCTCATGCTCCAGACCCTGGGCAAGGTAGGCCAGGGGCTTCTGACCTGCAAGGTGGGAGTCGGCCATCCCCAGGAAAGAACCATTCTGTATTTTTCTGTCCCCGTCTCCTTAGAATGGAACCTTTTTGAGGGCAGGTCCTTGTCTTTGTATGTCTGTCCCTAGCCCCGCCTCCCAGGGGCCGTCAATAAATGTGATGATGAGGATGATGCTGCTGCCCCGACTCCTCTCTGCTCCCTCAACCAGCCACTCTGCTGTTACAGCCTCTACATCTCAGCTCCTGCACTTCCTACTCTTGAGATGCCCTCCCTCCCTCTCTGCCCATCCAAAGCCCAGCTGTCCTTCATATCCAGCACTGCTCCTGCCTCTTCCATGAAGCCTTCTCTGATTACCAACTGCAGGAGTCTTTCCTAACTCTTAAATTCCCAGCACTTCTGGCCAAAGCACACTGCTCCACCACTGTTCTACAATTGCCGCACCTGTATGCACCTTTCCCTGGGTTGCCCGTAAGCCCCATCAGGATGCTGCTGCTCCTTCTCTGGCCTGCCAAGTGACCACCCCCACTGAGTGAAGGAGGGGAGATCCCTTAGGGTTGCAGGTATCTATCTTCAGCTAGGGGGAAACACTAGGTGGCCAGCTGTGCTGATGAGTGTGGGACAAGAAGATGGGAGAGGAGGAACATGCCCTGGAACAGCTTAGGTCAAGTGTAATGAGATGTAGTTTGGCAGGGAGGCATGGAAGGTCCTGCCAGTAGGAGAGGACAGTCAGAGTGCTGTGGAAGCTAATGTGATCTTGGTCAATGTTAACAGGCTAGAACCATCTGGAAAGAAGGAGGTGCTGGGTTGTCTCTACTTTTCACTGAACTTTTACGCTGTGAGGTGATCCTCAAAACAGCACCTTTGGAATAATGATGATAAGAGAGGACTGGGACTCCCTCCAACAAGGAACTGTGGAGGGACCTGATTGAGATTCATGAATGGGTGATGTGTGGATCTCTACAGGATGGTTCACCAAGAGCTAGAGGTCAGAGCCTAGAAAAATGGGTGGAAACCATAGGAAGCCAGATTTTGGTTGACTATGAGGCTCTGAAGTCAGGGCTGCTTCAAAGGTAGAGGGTTCCCATCCTCCCATCCCCAAAGATGCTCGCATGAGCAATGCCTGAGCAACTTCATGGTGGGAGCTTAAGAGATTCTGGCAGGAGCTGGAAGTACTGCCCCATTTGAACTTTCACGTCCAGGCAGTCAGATTTACCTCTGACAGGGGCACAAGGCACCAAGTGCCCACCCCATCCACAATTGCCTTGATTCTTGTACTCAGCTCACTGCTAGCACTTGAGATGCTGGAGGTTGAGGGACACAGGAACCACAGTGTGCCTGCCTGAGATGACAAGACGGAGCAGCCCTAGAGACCTCCCACACTCTCAGCACCACCTGGGCTGAGAGCACAGACTGGGTATCTTTTACCCTGGCCTTGCATTCCTGGTTCATGCTTCCAGAGTGTTTTTCATTGTAACCAAAAGGAGAAAATGGACAAAGGTCGTTGGGCATGTCTGAGTCTTCCTCCACTGTCATGAATTGAGGAGCAGGCTCTAGGCAGAGGCTAATGTCCACAGCCTGGTTTATCCTCCCCTTCCGAGGACAGGCAAGAAGAGAAAGAAACCCAGGCAAGGGAGGAACCAAATGGGATCCTTCAAAAATCCTTCCACTCCCCTCACCTTCCTCTAAATGCTCAGATTGTTGAAGGGGACAGGAAACAAAGCCCGCAGTGTTTAGCTCCAGTCTGAAAAACACCTGAGGTCATGGTATAGACACCATGAGAGTGGAGTGGGCCTAGTTCTGGACCATGGGAAAGGTTTAGTTGGACGTTTAATAAACTTCATTAACGCTGCTGCTTGAAGGTACACAGAATGTTCTGGAAGGTCTTGTGCCTGAAACCCTCTAGAACTTTGTTTCCAGGTTCTAAGGCCCCAGGGATTGTTCCTGGCTATTGTCCTCTATGAGAGACAATAAACTTGAAGGTCTACATGAGTAAGTCCCACCTATTACAGACCACAAGTGCTTTAACAAACCCAAACAGAAAATGGTCCAAATAACAAAACTCCTACCCCATTTGAAAAAAAAAAAAAAACACAAAAAAACACCCAAAAAGTTACTGTCCCTCAAGAAAGTCTGTTATGGAGCTCTCTGCCTGCCTGTGACTATGCAGGTACCTCTCTTTTCCTAATAAGCCTGTCCTTTTAAAATGTAAAACAAACAAAAAACAAAACAACGAAGTCTGTTGTGTACACCTACTTATTTGAGAATCACTAGTTTCTGCTTATTTTCCTAAGCTTCCCCCCTTGTTTTCCAAATAGGAACTGACATTATGCATTTTTGTCAATCAAGGTTTACCAAGCTAAGTAGGCCTAAACAAAAATGGGCTTAAATCTTTACCACTGAATCATTTGGTAACTGCAAAGCCATGGCTAAGAACTTGCCCCTGACCCTAAGGCTAGAGACTCAAATGGTTTCCAAGAGATCAAGGTGGACTAGCTGCAGTGTTTACATCAATTTATATAAGGATTTTACACAAAAGACTGAGTGTAAGGATTGGCTTTACTATACTCTACCTGGCTCTGTCGAGGACCTTACCATGGCTGTAGCCTTTTCAAAAGATTCTTCTTATTCCACAATGCAAATAGGATTTACACTGCCTCCCTGCAAAAAGTGTGAGTTCTTGTAGCAGCATATGCTGTAGCCTAGGGACCTGCAAATTCAAATGTATATTGGGGTCACAAAGGGCACAGAGGTGCAAAGCCGTCTATTACCACAAAGAAATTCACCTTCCCCCATATTTCTGGAAATGCACGATCCTTTTGTTTTCTCTCGATAGACATGGGATAGAGATTTCTCTACTGTGGGCAAAATGATGCAAGTATGGGGCCTCCCCGGTGGCGCAGCGGTAGAGCGCTGGGTTGCGAAGCTGCCCGCGGCCTCTGCGGTGCCGGTTCAATCCCCGGCTGCTCCCCGGCCACCGGAGGAGGGTCCCACATGGCGCGCAGACCTCTCCTGCCGCCCGCTGTTCCCCTCAGCAGTGTACTTCGGTCCTTCTGCCTGCTCTGCCCCTCGCTCTGGCTCTGGTGAATTCTCTCACCCTCCCGCGCTTCTGACTGTACCCAGTGCATGTATAAACAAAACAAACAAGCAAACAAATAAATAAAGAAAAACATGCCTCTATTAAAAAAAAAAAAATCTTTAAAAAAATTAAAAAAAAAAAATGATGCAAGTATGTGAGTCAAGGTCTTTTACACTTTCCCTCTGTTGGTGGGAGTGCAGTGAATTGGGGAGCAATGTCCTGTCTCAAAGACAGATATTACTGCTACTTTCAGGTGCTAAAACATGCATATGAGTGAAGTTGATGGTAGTACAACTTGTCATTTCTTGAGAGAAGTCAGAAATCTACCTTTGAATGCAAAGTTTCCTAAGTTTTGAATGTTGGCTAGTTATTTTAAGACACGTGCTAGCCATTGCCAAACACCATGCAGGTTGTCTGTAGCCTGCGAACTGTGAACCTTGGTTCGTTCTTGGTTCTCCTCTTCTTTTGTCTGAGGGCAGTTCCCTCCCACAAATGACAGTGTGAACATTAAAGGGGTAAAAGTAGAATGGGAGGGCCAACCCACTTCAAGACTATTGACAGGACTCCAGATTCAGACAGCTCTAAGAGATAGGGTAAGAGAACTAGGTTCACTGAGACACTCTGACCTCAGGACAAATGATGATGAATCTTGCCAGGTGTGAGGGCCCAGCTGGGGCAGGTGAGGTGGGCCTCTCCCTGTGATCCTGTTCATGGGCAGGTGGCAGTGTGAAACCTCATCTCAGGGTGGAGGAACTGAAAGGAGACGAAGACCAGGTTAGAGCTCACTTTTCTAGTGCACTGAACTCGAGAGTGAAGTTGCACTGACCAGCTGTCACTTCTCTCTGCCTCCCTTCATAGTGTCTAGTGACCTCCAGGAAGCCTGAAGTTCTGAGAAAGTTTCCCCCATGCCCCAACATTTCCCCCAAATTGACTGGTGGCCACTCATGTGGGCTTCACCCATCGTGCATTAGCCTCAAACTGTGGCCATAATAATGAGCCATACATGGAGTCAATAACGAGTGGACATTGGCCTAAGGTAGGCTGTTCTCCTTCATCCTGGCTCAGGCTGGTGCCATTTCAGAGGGCAAGGTGCACTCAGTGAGTGAAATGTCAGAACCTCTGAAACAAGAAATCCTACTCCTGTAGCACTGGGATCTATGTAACCCAGAAATAAAGGGCAACAGAGTGGGGAAAGCAGTTTGGCTCAGGGGAAATAAAAGTCCTGATCAAATCCAAAGGCAGTGTCGCAATTGCCTAGATATGTATACCTGTGATTCCTGCCATGTCGGGGTCTTCCCCTTTAGATCCAGGCATGCTGCTCACTCAGTTGGTACTTTGCTTGTACCCCACTCCGTTCCTACCCTGGGGCAGGGTGGGCCCCCTTCGTCCCAATCGCTGAGTCCAGGTTCAAACTTCTAGGGAGTTTTGTTTTTGTTTGTGATCAAAAGGAGAAAAGGGACTAAGGCTAAGCGTGCTTGAACCTTTCTTCACAATCATGAATTGGGGAACAACCCCCACAAGGTTGGGGCTAATGTCCACAGCTTGGTTCAGCCTCTCCTCCTAAGAGCAGGTAAGAGGCAGAGAAAGGGAACACCTAGGACAATCCCCAGTGTGTGGCGGGAGGATGGGAGAAGGGAGAAACGTTACCATGGAGTCAGTCTTTCGGAAAGCCTCTTCCACATCTTCCCTGCCAGGAAGAGCCTAGAGTCAGTTTTAGGGAACATAGGGAATGGGTCTCTCAGAGGTTAGTTCTGGCTTAAAGAAAAGCCTAAGGAGAGGCACAGAGTTGAAAGGCTAGTCAACTTCGAAAACCCTGCTTTTAGTTGCATGGAAAGTTCTGTTATGTTACAGATGTTTCACACAGTCTGGACCCCCTATCCTTCTGCCAACCTTCTGGCACTCTCTATGTACTTTCAGGTTCTAGGGTCCTAGGGAAGGTTCTTGGCTGTGATCTTCACTGAGAAATTTGAGAAAGATCCCAGCTATTATAGACCACGAATGCTTTTACAAACTAAATGCAAAAGAACCCGGCCTCTTTTGATAGACACTTTGATAGAACATTCAGTTATACCCCAACTGCTTGGGAGAGGATTAGTTTCCGTACATTTTACTCAGCTTCACTTTCTATAGTTTATATTCTAAGACATAACATTAAATGTTCTTTTTGAAAGTACATTATTTCCTCCCCCCAACTGAGCCCAGGATGTCTAAACCAGGGTGTGCTTAAATCGTTATGACTAAATTGTATGGTCACTGCAAAGCTGTGCCCACAAGTTTGCTCCAGACTGTTAAAGGTAGAGAATCAAATGGCTTCCGAGAGATTCATGTTGAGCTAGTTGTGCGTTTACCCCAATTTATACAAAGTATTAAGTACGGGAATTGATGGAATATGCCAAAGCACCTCTGGCTTTGTTTAGACCTGACCCTTAGGCCTTCATCCTTGTGTTAGATTTCTTGCAAAAGTCTTCCTACTCCACAGCCTTACGCTCAGCTACAGCCGTACAATGTCACAGCCAGCCCACTCCCTACATGTAGTAACTACGGGAGTTGAGAGTCTGTCTACTACAGCTCTAGCCAAGTTCATGACTAACATGAATTAGAAAAAGAAAAAATGAATCTAATTCCACCATGTGCCTTCTGCCTGTTCCTCAGTGGTCCTACTGAGGAGTAATCTACTCCACACTCCCCAAGTTGCCCACAGCATCAAGCAACTTGGTTTCAAGGACGTGACTTATGGGGCCTGCGATAAGCACTGTAGCTAAACAGAAGATGGGTCACACTTAAACTCCCACTTTACTGTTCTATTTCTGGGAGGGGTGGGTGGGCTGCATTTAGTAATGGGTTGGCTGGCAAAAGGATAAACTTGGCTCTACTAGCATCATATTTTAGGTGTTGATTAACAATAATAATCATAAAGTGTGAAACACTTAGAAAGCAATGATGTGCTTCACTGGTATCATGCCCACAGTAAATTCTTCAAGGTCACACATGAGATAAGTATGGGCTCGGGCACACTCATCCTTATACTAGCCCACTTTGCTTTCCCACTACTACATGCAACCAACAGAAACAGGGGGTGGGGCCTGGGGCGGACCACAGAAGAATGGCAAGGTTTCCACAAATCACATTCATATTCTACATTAGGTCTCACCTGTGGCTTGGGAAACTCACAGAAAGACAAGGGAGGTGCAACCCAGAATTTTTCTTTTGGCAGCCAACAATTGGTCACATTGCACGTTTCAAGGCTACAGAGGAACCCCACGGTACAATTTGGGGCAGGAGCACACACCTCTTGCTCAGAGCTTTACAATAAAGCCAGACCATGTGTTCCAGAAACTGACAACATCGGGAAACCAACATCTGGGAGTGGCCCCAGAAAACCCTTCAATCTCGGGTTTTCAGGGCTGTTCATCATGGGGCCTCTTTCTTAGACATCGGAAAGCTTCCTTTTCTGGAGCATAGGGGAGGGTTGTGCAGGTCAACGGCCAAGTTGGACAGGTGGGGAAGAACAGAAGAGCAGTTCCTTCTTCGGACCCCAGAAGAGGTAGACTATGGAAGGCAAAAGGTTCCAGGGACTGGAAAGGCCATTTTCTGGAGGCTGGCTGGGGCTGCTCCCCTTGCCTCCTCTCTCCGTTAAAAACGAAAGCCGACGAGGATGAAGAGTGTGAGGAGAAGGAAAACGAAAGCTGTGTCCCGGGTCTCGTCCCACTGGAAGCCCTTCTTGGCCCGCTCCTCCTGCTGCTTGCGAAGGGCTTCACGCCGGGCCCTCTGGCGCCGTTCGCGCTCTAGCTGTTCTCCGTAGTGCGCCTGGTAAAAGGCGTCGAAGTCGAAGATGGTGCGGCTGGCGCCCGGTGCGGTCTGACCTCCGCTGGGGCGGCGAGAGGCGGGCGGCCGCGCGGAGGGCGAACCCGGGTCGGCGGCGGGCGTCTTGGTGGGGCGGACGCCTGGTCCGCGCATGTCTTCGTCGCTGAGCAGGCCGCGGTCATACTTGCGACGCAGGGTGGCACTGCCCAGCACCACGTAGGCCTGAGAGATGCGCGTGAAGCGCTCCGCGGCTTCGGCGCTCCCGGAGTTGCGGTCCGGGTGGTAGAGGAAGCTCTGCCGGTAGTAGGCGGCCTTGATTTGCGCCTGCGTGGCTGTGGAGGGGACGCCAAGTAGCTCGTAGAGCGCCGTGCGCGAGTAGGGGCCGTCGCCCCGGGAGTACGTCCTCGCTTCGAGGCCCAGGCCCGGCGCCGGCATTCGCGGAGCCCCCCGGGCCTGCCACAGTCTCCACAGTAACAGCCGCGGCCACCTCGGATCGCTCTTGGCTGCCATCTTGAATGATACGGTGGGCGGTGCGAGGTGAACTGGCCAATCGAAGGTGCGCGCTGGCCCCAGCGGGCGGGTCCTCTAGCCAATGGAGTGAAAAGGCAGGCGGGGAGAGGGGCGGAGCATGCGTAATTTGAGAGCGTCGCGGAGTCGATGACATAAAAGCCGGACTCGTGGGACGCCGCCGCCACAAGGGCTCCTGGAGTGTGCCGATGGCGTGTCGCGGGCGGAGACCGGAGCACGGCGGCCCCCCGGAGCTGGTGAGACCTGCAGTCTGCGGGCACCCCTCTTTCCTCTTAGAGGAAATCCTCATCTTTAATCACTCCCGTTTTTCTTTCTATTTTCCCTAGTTTTATGACAAGAATGAAGCCCGGAAATACGTGCGCAAGTGAGGGGAGCCTGGATGTGGCGCGGCGTCGGGGTCGGGAACCGGCGAGTGGCCCAGATTGCGGGCTTTGCTTGGAAAGCACACAGAATTTTGGGGGTGGGAGAAGGAAAGGACCCGGGTCGAGCCCACTTCTTCTGATAAAGTCATCGTTAAGCAAACCGCCAAACCTTCTGGGCCTCAGAAGTTAGAATTAAAATGGGAGTGAACACACCTATTTTTTCTGGGTTGTTTTCAAAGTTGAATGACAACTCGTGTTAAGCATGGGGCGAATCAGTCAGGAGGCAGTGGGTACGTGTAAGGGGGTAGTGCTATTGGGGGGAAGGAAATGTTACCCATAGAATGCTTGCTGTGTGTAGCTGTTTACATTACCTCACTAAATTCCCCCGACAACTGGCAGTATAGTATAACTCCGAAGTTATTTCACAGGTGAAGGCTGGAGCCAGGACTTACAAGCCGACCCTTGCTCATACACCTCTCTGTAGAAGATTCCACAGATAACTGTTTTCGTTCAAGTTAGAGTTCAAGACAAAATCTCTAACCCTAGCGTCATTATGTTGCAGATAAAAACTTTTCCAGTGTGCAGAGCCCTGTATTAGGCATTTTGAAAACATTTATGTATGATCCTTTCTTTTCATCTTGGAAAAAACAGATATACTCTAGACTTACTCTGTTCAGTATGGTAACCAGTAACCATCAGCCATTAGTTGGGATGACTTAGTGTGAAGAAAATATGAAATATCTTAGTCATCATTTAAAAATATTGATTTTGTGTTGAAATGATATTTAGAACATATTGGGTTGTAAAATGTTACTAGGTATTTTGGGGTTAGCCATTAGTTTTATGCACTTAATTTCTTCTTAGTGATGGCTATTTGAAAGTCCTATGTGACTTGTGTTTTATTCCTCTTGGATAGCATTGCTAGAGATTTTTGTTGTGCATCACTGATTCTTACAAGAGTAACTGTGATGGGTAATTCTTTCAGAAAAAATGTTCTTAAGTAATATAACAGCAAAGGCTGATAGCCAATGGCTGGCCTCTCTAGTGGCACAAGGGGTTGACCGCAGCGCTGTGAAGCTGTCCGCAGCCTTTGCAGTGCCGGTTCAATCCCCGGCCTGCCGGGGAGCAACCCACATGGCGCAGCAGAACTCTCTTTACTCGCCCGCTGCTCCCTTCAGCAGTGTACTTTGGTTCGTCTGCCTGTTCTGTTCCCCACTCTGTCTCTGGTGAATCCTCTCACCTCCCATACCTCTGGCCTGTACCTGTTCTTGTAATCATTTAAAAAAAAAAAAAAAAAGCCAGTGGCTGGTCATTAGCTAAATGATCACTTAGCTTCATGTGAGCTTTATAGCTGTGTCATTAAAATATATGTCAAACAAAATAACATGTTGCTGAATTATCTGGACTTTTGGTATCACTTTTAAATACTTGTAGTTGACTTGGTTAACCAGGAAAGAGTACTCCAGGATGCCTGTTCCTTTTCTCGTCTTTGGCTTTTTTTTGTTTTTGTTTTTGCTCTGGAGGAAGTTTTAGTCCAGGAACCCGTTACACACTACCTGGTGTTTTTGCCTTCCCAGCTCACGGATTATTGATGTCCAGACCAAGATGGCGGGGCGAGCACTGGAGCTCCTTAATCTGCCTGAGGGTCAACCCTGTTACCTTTTGGATATTGGGTGAGATCCTCGCCTTCAGTTCAGATTGTCCAAGTGGTGGAATGTCTTTGCTATCACACTGTTGAGTCCATTTTTTGATTGTGTCTTCCAGCTGTGGTTCTGGTCTGAGTGGAGATTATCTCTCAGATGAGGGGCACTATTGGGTGGGTATTGACATCAGCCCTGCCATGCTGGGTAAGTATGTCCTGTTCGGCACTGGGGTAAATTATCCTCTTTGAGTTTGGAGCAGCTATGCATGTCTATTTTCCTGACATATTTTCTCCAACATAGATGCAGCCTTGGACCGAGACACGGAGGGAGACCTGCTTTTGGGGGACATGGGCCAAGGCATTCCATTCAAACCGGGCTCCTTTGATGGTTGTATCAGGTAAGAATCTTTACAGCCTGCTTTTAGTCCTATCGACCAATGCTTCTGAAACATGGCTGTGCTGCAAAGTCAAACTTGATACTAAGAGTATACACCTCGCAGAACAAGGCCGAAAAAGGTTTATTTGTTTTTATATTTCAAATCTGTTGACTCCTGTGATTATCTTGCACTCCCAGGTTTAGACTTCATTGGGTATAGATTCTCTATATGTTTTATGGTGTGTGTGGGGGTGGTGGTGGGGGTGAGGGTGGTGGTAATTTTCTGAGCCTCTGGGAGCCATTTTGTGGGCCCCAGCAGCCATTTTGTTGACCTCAGCAGCAGTTTCGTTGTGCCCAGCAGCCATCTTGTTGGCTTTAGCAGCTGTCTCGTTGTGCTCAGCAGCCATCTTGTTGCCTTCTTTTTGAAGTGCTCTGTCGTGGAGAATGGCGCAGATTGTTCCAATCTCCTCAGTGGCATAGGAGTCCATTCTAGGTCATCAGAGCCAGGTTTTAAGTGTTTAGTTAGTACTTTGATAATGGATCTTACAACATTGAAATTACTGTTACATATGTGAAGTTCTTTGTCTCCTTTGGGCTCTTTTTGATGGGATGGAGGTAGGAAGTAGGAGAAGAAGTCATAGTTTAATCCCTTGGAGGGAGACCTTCTGTGGTCATAGGTTGAGTAGTAGCATGCAGATGTAGAATAGGGAGCTGAGTGAGTAGTAAAAATTTGGGTTTGAAGAGTTTTCTGCTTGGGTGTAAGGGATTAGTTTATATCTGGGAAAATGAGGGGAAAAAAGAAACATTTCCTAGCATAGCAGTTGGTTTCTGTAGGTTAGTGAGGTGTTCTTAACTGCAGAAAAAAGGCCAGCAGTGTGGTCTGTATGTTTTAGGAATAATTATTTTTTAGTTTGTTTTTAAGAGGAGAGATGGTGTGACAAATTTTTTTTTTTTTTTTAAGGATTTGCTTATTTATTTATACAAGCACTGGGTACAGTCAGAAGCGCGGGAGGGTGAGAGAATTCACCAGAGCCAGAGCAGGGAGCAGAGCAGGCAGAAGGACCGAAGTACACTGCTGAGGGGAGCAGCGGGCGGCAGGAGAGGTCTGCGTGCCATGTGGGACCCTCCTCCAGTGGCCGGGGAGCAGCCGGGGATCAAACCGGCGCCGCAGAGGCTGCGGGCAGCTTCGCAACCCAGCGCTCAATCGCTGCACCACCGGGGAGGCCCTGACAAACTTTTTAAAAAACATTTGTTATATGTAAGACATTGTACAAGGTGCTGTGGAGTTCGGAAGTGAAACATGGTCCCTGTTTTTAAGTCTCCCCATGATTGGTTAGGTGCTATAAGAGGTAGACCATTCAACTAACACCAGGCTGAAGGTATGCACTAGGGAGTCATGGGACTCACCAGAGCTGTGAAGATAAGCAGGAGAACACAGGGTAGCCTTGAAAAGGAGAAAGGGTAGCGGTTGGGTCTTAAAAGACTGGGAGGAATTTGGATAGTCAAGGACAAGCTTTCTGAGTGAAGCACCAGTGTGCACAAAGGCACAAAAGTGGAGGAGGAAAGGAGTTGGACAGAAAGTAGGGATGAATGAGAGATTTTGTGGAGCATGAGATTGCGTGGCCTTGGTTTCTAGAAGACTTTTCATACCATCCTAAAGTTTGGGCTTCATTCACTTGGGAGCTGGGGAGTAACAAGGTCAGGTCTGTGTTTTAGACAGATTATTTAGGAGAAGAGAGAGGAGAAAAAAGTTAGGTTGTTGAAGCAATCAAGGCAGTAATGAGATTAGGGTAGTGGTGGAGGAAAGTAAAAGCTGGGAGAGGCAGTGGGAGACAAAGAGTTTGGGTTTCTGTGGATATGTGTGCACAGCGATGAGGGAGGGAATGCCAGAAAGAAGGCTTTAACTCCTTGTGATTTGAAGTCTGAGGATAGTGAACACCATTAACAGGTACAGCTGGAAGAGATGATTCAGGGGAGTGAATGAATGACTTTATACAGTACTATAAAGCATGTTTCCCTTGATCAGAGGGAGAGAATTAAGGGGTTGGTGGCAGAGACAGCCATGACATGCTGAGTAATTGTAAACTTGAGATGCATGTAGAAACAAGCTTTCTTTGGACTGGCAGCATAACACTGACTGTGCATCCTGTTTTGGTCCATTGTGTAGAGTAGTAACCTGGAGTGAGCCTGTGCATCCCAAAAAGGGAGTTTTGGGCAGGAGTGCTTTACCTGGGATGTCTGGTGTCAGTCTTGAAGAGGCAGGGCGAGCAATATGTTGGTCCCTTTCCTGACTAGCTCCCTTCTCTTTTTAGCATTTCTGCTGTACAATGGCTCTGTAATGCCAACAAGAAGTCTGACAATCCTGCAAAACGCCTGTACTGCTTTTTTTCTTCACTTTATTCTGTTCTGGTGAGTATGAAATCTCCCCAGCTGTCTGTCTGTCTATCTTTTCTTGCCTGGCAGATAGAATGTGAAGTAGAGCTGTCCCAGGGGAAGGTCATTCAGATGGGGCTGAGCATTGGGTGGCGGGCTCCTATTGTGGTTGACATCTGTCCAGGTCCTTGGCCTAAATAAGAGACTCAGTGGGCTGACAATCCCTAAT